TTGTATAAAACACACACATCATTATATATCTCTCAATTTCTCACTTTGTCTCTCTACCTCCCTCCCTCTTCCTTTCTTTCACACACACACTCACACACACACATACACACAGACACACACACACAGACACACACACACACAACCACACATACACACACACACACACACACACACACACACACACACAAACACACATGCATACATACATACATATATACACAAGCACGTTTGCGCACATTCTTGTGAACATTATTCCTACGTGGCCGCGACCACCTGATTGGCTAACAAGATACTTCTACTGTTTCCTTACGACAGTCAGCTAATCAACAGTAAGAGAGCTAGCCACTACCCCAATAACCTCAAGGTGTGCCGTCAAAGTAACCACGCCTTTCCGCAAAAGCATAATGGTATTGCCCTGATCTGGTCAGCCAATCCCAGTTGAGTAACAGAGAATGCGCCGCCTCGCGAGCTTGACCCGTGACGTCATGCAAAAAGTATCTCAGTAAGCTCCACCTCCCAAGCATATAAAGGGACCATTTTTGGCGCGACACCGTCATAATTTTCCTCAGTCTTCAAACGTCTGCACGGTTATAACCATCGATCAACACTGCCAGTGAAGTGTGGATTTGAACACGGACATCCCAGTCTCCTTACTCTCCATCACCGTCTTTGTAAACAATTGGAGTTATTTAATGTGATCTGTATTTCGACTTGTGCAATAAAACTCCCAGTTGTAAGTTGAAATTTTTCTCATCGTGACATTTTCCTTGATATCATTGTGACGTTCTCCTTGAAGACAACATGGAGTGCTAAAGTTTTTTTGTCTGTGAATCCTGATCTTTGTGATACCGTGACTACCCAGAACAAGTGTAACTTCGGTACAGACCATTTGTGTAGTTTACAGTTTCATCAGATAAGTGTTATTTGCAAACAGTGAGTTCCAGGTTGGACAAGGTATTCAAGTTTGCCTGCCGCAGACATCAATCAAACAGACTTCAGCACGTGGTTTTGACCTCTACTTCTCAGGTAAGCAATTTTAAAGAATTTTGTTCACTTTCGTATTGAAATCAGACATCAATTTGTCCAGCCAACACGTGTAACCTTTTTTCCTCTTTGTCTTCAAGTCCCCCCGCTCTCTCTCTCTCTCTCTCTCTCTCTCTCTCTCTCTTTCTCTTTCTCTCTCTCTCTCTAGCTCGCTCTCTCTCCAGCTCTCCCCCTCCTCTCTCTCTCTCCCTTCTAGCTCTCCCTCCCTCTCTCTCTCTCTCTCTCTCTCTCTTTCTTCATCTCTCTCTCTCTCTCTTTCTTCATCTCTCTCTCTCTCACTCTCTCTCGCGCGCACACACACACACACACACACACACACACACACACACACACACACACACACACACATACACACACACACACTCAAACACAAATGTGAGGCAGTGCGGTGGAATCAGGCTCTTGTCAATTTTGGGGCATGTAGAGGTATTGGTATTATCCTAAAGCTTGTTCACTTGTCTTTAATTGGATGAAAAAATTATTCATTCATCTTAAATGCAAGTCGAGATATTTGCAAATGAAGGAGTGGGGGTCACCAGTTTTCAGAGGTAAAATTAGTGAGAAAATAGCCGCCACAGATTAGTTATTTCCTATGCTTAAGAGTTCGTGGTAACTGAAAATTTACATTTTTTGTGCCTTTAATCAACGTATTTCACAAAAGTCCACACAGGAGAAAATGAGTGCTTAAATGGGCATGAAAGGTGTTGAGCCAAATAGCAAAAATGCAAGTTTCTTCACTTTAATTATTTTGACGAGAGCCTTATTCCACCACGCTGCCTCATAAATGTGCCCAGACAATACAAAACTTTGCAAATGCACAAAAATAAAAGCAGTATAAGCCCAAAAAGTTGATGCTTAAAACGTACCTGTTCCTTAACTTTTCATATGTGTCTTTTCACTCATTGCTTGTTTAAATTTTATTTTAAAATTGACGCTCCTATATTGTGAATGACAAGAGTAGACAGAACAGCGGTCGTGAAAAAAACAGAGAGAAATAGAATTATAGTGCTGTCAAAAATTCGTGGGCAACTTATCCTCAAGTCTCTTTAAGCAGTGAATAAGTGTCATCCACACTTTGCACAGCAAGTTTTTATGAACTTAATCATATTTTTCCACAATAATTGAGGCCATACTAAAAAACGAACAAAAAACAAAACCTTTCTTTTAAATAAATTTATATAAAATACTGTAAATCAGCGTCACACAGAAAATCGAATTGTTCACAGCCCTTTCCGCTTCTCAAACACATTTTTGCATACGCGGGCTACGTCATAGCTCACCAATGACACTCTTTATTGGCAGAACTTGTTACACGAAATTAGACAAATTTTATAGAGAACACTTTTCAATCACTAAAGGTTCTAAAAACCGCAAATATAAA